AGCCAGAGTGCAAAATTCACACTCAGCTCAGAGCAAACATCAGGGATTCCCCAGAAAAGCATCATCTCTGGTCTGACAAATCCTGCCCAACACAGCCTTCATAAGAAGAGCGTCAAGCAGCATTCAGCCTAGCATGTGCAATATCTTACCTGGCGATTGTCACTCCTCAGAAGTCTTTTCTGAGGCACTGAGCATCAGCTGTGCCTGTCATCTCCCAGCTATTCAAGCAGCAACAGCCCTCGGTCCTGCTGCCTCTGCAAACCACCTCCCACATCTTGTTTCTCCACAAGGCCAAGGAGGAGTGTGCTGGATAGACAAGGCTTTTCCAGGGCTCTCCTGGTAGCGATGCTCTGAAGCAAGACAAAGTTATGTATTTGAGCCGTGTGTTGTCATTTAAACTTAATGCATCCTGAGGCCAGAGGAGCAGTTGTTTCATGCTGCCACGGAGATGACAGCACAGCCCTGTGCTCTCACAGAGATTGATTCAGCAAGACTGATTTCTCTGAGAAAGAAGGAGAGGGCAACCAAGAAAATTAAAGCGGCCACATTAATTTTGGCTCCAGTGGTGGAGAGAGAAGGACAATTTCCCCTCCCTTCCCAGTTTGCAGTGCCCAGGCTGGTGTGCTCACCATTTTGGCAGGCATTGGGCTGTGCAGCCCCTTTCAGATTTGGGCTGCTGGGCCAGCAAACTGAGCTGCCGCATCAAATCTGCTTACGTTTACCCTTCCGAAAGCATGTGTCAGGCTTAGCTTCAGGCAGGTTTTCCTTTGCCCTCCATGTCATGTTGGCAGCATGCTTTAGGCGAAATTTTCATCAAGCACAGACATTTAACGTCAGCAAGCCTGGGATCTGCAAAGGGCCCTTTATGGGTGACTCACGGGGCATCTTACAAGCACGGGACCCCGTCGGCATGGGGTTAAGGATGGCCAACACCACGGTCTCTCCTCACGCTCCCATTTCCATTTGACCATCATGTCCAGTCCATGGTGTCAGTAGTGCCAATTTATGCAGTTTGGGGGACTAATTAACCAACTGCAAGGAAGTACGTGTCACTCTGACAACCACCTGCAAACTTTGCACACCGATGCTCCTATTTGCTAGAGCCAAGTCTGTACCAAGCCAGAAACCTTCTCTGGTTCCCACAGCTCAGCCATTCAGTGTCTGTGTTGGGGAGGTTTGGTCTGCCCTTCTGCTTGTGCTTGGGGGTGTTGGGATATCTCCCTCTGTCTTTCATTGGATTTTAATGGTTATGCATCCAGAGAAGAGGCTGAATCTGAGCTCTCTGAGTCACAGGGTCACCCAGAAGACATTTTATGGCCTTTATGCATCCTGAACCGCTGGCTGGGAGCTGGCAGTGAAATGAGATGCCCCCAGAGAAGACGTCTCCAGCCTGTTGGCATGAGTGGAGCCAAGACTGGGCCCCAGACCAGTGTCTTTCCAGCTGCCTTCCCCATACCCTTGGCTGGTAAAGGCCTCCGGAGAGCATGGGGAGGGACAGAAATCTTCTTGAACACTCTCCTCTCTCAGAGCCCGCTGTTTAACAGATAAAACTGTGCGTGACAAGGTCGTTTGCACAATCCGGCCCACGTTTGAGCATTTTCTGTCCCCGAGGAGGGAGTGACCCTGTGCTGGCAGGGCAGGCATCACGTTGCCCTCCCGCTCGTCCCCCTGCCAGGCACACGTCACCTGCAGCTGGGATGAGGGCTCCCACCGCTGTCACCTCCCTGCTATCAGGTGCAATTTTCTTGTCAACTGGTCTAAGAAAAACCTCGTCTCCTCCTTTTCCTTCCCAGCAACAAGACAACTTCCCTCCTCGAGTAGCTGTCAGAAATTTGAGCAATGAAGCTGCTAAGTGCATAAAAGCACTCCCCAGTGCCCGGGTCTGAGGAGCTGCGTGCTGCAGAGGCAGGCACAGGAGCAGCTAGGGGTTTTTTGGCATCTCTAGGAGAAGGAACAGGGCCTTCAGTGGAAGTCGGATGGGTGACAAGCTGCATAAGAGCATTATTCCCTGCATTGATTCAGGAATAAATGTTTGTTTGTCCTGGCAGTGAGAGCATGCTATGGGCAAGCAACTCACTGACTGCTGTAGCAGCTGGTTGTGTGTTTAGAGATGTTCATTTTCGTGGCCCACTGGGCACGCCTTCGCTAGCTGCATGCAGGACTTGGTTATTTCAGCCCCAGCTCCTGTGTGATCTGGGCACGGCGATGAAAACCACCTTTCACAAAATGCCTGGGTAGGTTGCCACCAGTCGCTCCTGGTGCTTCCTGAGCCTGCAAGAGAGCAAAGTCTGGCTGAGGTGTCTCTTGCCCTTCCCAGGGATGTGTTCAGAAAGCGTGGGTGGGCTGGCATGCTCGTACCAGGTACACATCACCCCACGAGACCAGCAATTTGCTGCCCGTGACACCGAGCTGGCGTTAGCAAGCACGTTGCTCTCCCTGGCACCCAGGATACTGCAAATGCCAGAAGTTTACCCAAGCTCAGAGTGAAACGTGAGAAACCTGCAGAGCATGGCTAAATACATAGAAACCTGGGCTGGCTGGAAACCCTGAGACACAGATATCTGGGGGCTGGGAATGCTTCAGTTGGAAATATTGTCTGTATGCTCGTCCTGCTCATACATCCTTCTACGGGCAGGTGCTCTTGGCACTGGTCAGAAACTGCCGGGTGGCCCTCGGGCATGGTGGCTGTTCCCTCGTTGCACCATCCTTGGAGCATCGCCCACCAAAGGGATTTCTCCATGGGTTCTAGAAGCCAAAGATTGTGTGGGGATGCTCTGCTGAAAGGTCTTTGCACTGTGAGTGAAATGGCGTAGTTTGAAATGAAGACTCTAACCCAGACGAAGAGCGTGGGGCTTGGAGCAAGGGCAGGAATTTGTACGCCGTGTTCAGGAAGATCCCCTTCTTTCCCTTGCTGCTGGGTGTCGGCGAGAGGAAAAGAGCTGGAGCTGCAATTCTGCAAGATTTGTTTTATTCTTTGATTGCTGGTACATGGAAATGAGCTGAAACTCATTCCCTCAGCGATTGCCTTGGCTACGGACTCGGGGACGAGCAGTTTCTGGTAGAGAAATGCAGACAGTTGGCTGCTTTCTCCTTGGCAACACTTTGCCCAACTTTTTGTCAGTGTGAGCACATGGGGGGAAGGGGGTGCCTGGAGCCAGGTGGTTCCCATGGGCGGTTGGCAGCTCTGAGTGGAGCCACAAAGCACATTCCCCCAGTATTTCATCCACCCTGCCTGGACACAGGCAGGAGGAGAATCCACGCACTAAATGCCCCTGACACATGGTGGCACCAGGAAGATCGCATTGCTGCTCAGAGCAATGGTCCCATATGACTAAATCAGAGCACAAAGCTGGGTAAGGCAATAGTTTGTCTCCCGCTAAGGACCCAAGACCTCCACTGGTTGTTGAGGAAGTCTTGCTGAGCAGTGGGGGTGTTTCAGGGTGCTCTACAGGACCCAGCAGGCAAAAGGCAGTGCCACGGAGATCAGGTGTGCTCTAAGAATAAGCTGTGTTATTTCCACGCACTTATTTCTCAGGCAGATGTGGTCTCCAACGCCATCAGAAGGAAATCCTTTTCTCTGGGATTGCAGCATTATCCCAAGGACACATTTGCCTCAGCAAGTTTTGCTGATTGGGAATTCATCTTGGGGAGCAGACTCGCTGGTTTTTCCTCCCACCCTTTGTCCCAGCAGCCTTGCTACAGCAAAAACCAGCAGTGCTCCTGTCTACCCAACACAGAGCACTCGCTCGCACCCTGGGAAGACCACCTGGAAAGCTGCATTACAGCAGCACCTGCTGGCAGGGGCACTTTCAGTCCTGCGGCCCCATTGTTCTGGTCCTCTTTGTGTTGAGTCTGAGCATCGGGAGCTGCTTTTTGTATTTTATGGGCACCCAGGGTCCTTCTTGTAAGAGAGGATTATTGTGCGGAGCTTAGAAATGCCGCACACAGAAAGCCAGAGCACGCCCATAGGCAGTTTGCATCTCGATTCCTCTGCTGCCCTCGGTATTGCTGAACGCAGCTTTTTTAATTAATTTTCCCGAGAAGGGCTTTTTTTTCATACGTGGAGGGGACGCGCGGGATGCAATTTAATGGGATTTGTCAGGAAAATTATTGATTTGGTTAGTAATATTTTTGAAATCGTGCCATTCTGTTAATACTGCCGGGCCCTCGGATAGCTTGGCTGTGAGCATTTTTGCATCCTTCATTAGTTTTTTAATACACAATAATTTCACCTAACTCGTCAATGCAAAGCAAGATCGGCTGCGCGCTCGGTACCCATTTTTCCTACGTACAAACCCGTTGCAGCAATAATTACCAACCGAAGAAATTATTACAGATATTCATTATAAAATACAATTACACCGAGCCACGCTGTATTGTTACACTCTTCACAGCCATCGCTCGCTCTTGAGTAAACGGTTTCATTATGAGCATGAAGGGCAAACTTAATACACCTCTGACTCATAGCGAACGGCACAAGGAATCATCCTGGCTGTTCCTCCGAGTGCTTGGCGCTGTTTGCTCCGAGAGAGAGTAAAATGTCGCCTCTGCTGCCAAATACTTGTCAGGGCACGGAGGGGCTCTGCCACGCAGCGTGCGGAGGAGCTGGGGATGGGACCGCAGCATCCCTTGCCAGTCGGAGCCCGCGAAGCCCAAAGGGAGCAGCCAAGGGGCGTGTTGTGCGTGGATGTGCGGTGTCGGGATGAGGCAGAGCCCCCGGCAGGGGCTGGGGTAAGCGGGAACAAGTCGTCGAGGGGCTGAGTTGCACCCTGGGTTTTAGGAGGCACCCTGACCCCACAATCAGTGCTCATTGTCTCAGCCTCTCGGCTCCTGCCCTTTGCTTTCGGCTGTGCTGCCCCTCCGGCTGTGCCACCGAACCCACTGTTTTCTCTCCGCAGCCACCTCCTCCTGGCGTTTCCACCCTCCTCCTCCTCTCCCTGTCTCCCTCCTCCCTCTTCCCCCCTTACTCTTGAATCTCTATTTCTTCTTCTCTGTTCCAGCAAAACGATATCAATCAAGGTGATAGATGATGAGGAGTATGAGAAAAACAAGACCTTCTACCTAGAGATCGGGGAGCCCCGGCTGGTGGAGATGAGTGAGAAGAAAGGTGGGGGACGTGCTCCGGGGCTGAGCCCAGCCTGTGTGTCCCTGTCTGGCTCACTCATGCCTGGCACCTGCAACACCGAGCTCACATCCCCAGCGCCTGCGGGAAAGGGCAGGAGCAGGGGCCCCCGAAAAACCCCAGGCCGGCTGGTGGGGACGCTCCTGCCCTTCCCCGTCTGCCACAGGGCGATGTGCAGCCGCTTCCCTCCCTCCCCGACCATCTCGGCACCACGGCGGACGTGAACTGCATGCGCGTGTGATGCCAATCATGTGTTTGCCTTTGTCTTGTGTTCCCACAGGAAATTCATTACCCTTAGAATACTTGACCGTGAGGAGTATGAGAAAGAGTGCAGTTTCTTCCTTGTGCTTGGGGACCCGGTGTGGCTACGACGAGGAGTGAAAGGTGTGAGAGTAACACCAGACCAGCTCTCGAGACGCTGCCGTCCGCTTTTCTCTGTGTCTCCCTACTCTCACACTCCTTTCTCCTCGCGCTCTGGCTCCCGGCCGTTTTGCCCTCCCTCCTTCGAAGCTTGGCCCCTTGCAGCTTTTTGCTCTGTTTTTCTTTTCTCTTTTGTTTCGGGGGCACCCCGTCTCGCTCACGAGGGCCCCCTTGGAAGACCCAGGCAGGGAATGATGAGCATCGCCAGCTCCTAGGGATGTTTTCAGCACACCGCAGCCAGCAGCTTCATTCAATCTCGTAGAAAATTCGGTCTCCAGAAGCAAGCGACACTGCATCATTTTTATCAGAAGATAAAATAGCCTCTGCTTGAAGTAAAATGCCTGGCCAGAGCAGTAATTTTAGCCTTTCTTATGCTGGCACTAGGGTCTGGAAATAGCTGAGAATCACGGCACAAGCAGGTAATGCCGTAAGATGCAATCAATCCAGGAGAAATCAGGTTACGCTCAAATAAAGTTTCATGGCTCTGCACTGGATAATAGCTTCTCATAGGAATAATAAAAACAATTTCCTCTTTCATCACATAAAATAAAAACATTTCTAAACTAACTGAAAGCCTTCCCAAAAAGGCATGGCTCGCTTAGTTTTCCAAGAGTTTTTTTTGTTTTGTTTTGTTTTGTTTTTTCCCCAGGAAATTAACTAAAAATTAATGGCAACAGCTAATCCTGTGCCCTATTGGTGGCCGAGCAAGAAGCGGTTTTAGAGCTACTTAAGATAATTAGTTGCCCTACAACGGCCCCTTATTAAAGCCTTTGTAACAAATTGGTAGCAGCATTTGTTCTGGCTTTCTCATTTCTGGGACAAAAGCTCTCCCTTCAGCAGACATGGGGCTGGCACAAACTACTTGTGCAGGGCCGAGAGGGTCCCCAGCAGTCCCCATGCTGAGCAGGGAGGTGCCACTGCATTTCAGCCTCAAATCACGTCCAGCAGCAATGCCACATTCCCCTTCAGAACGGGTGTCATGCAGGTCAGCTGCACCTTCCCCTCTGTCAGGTTTCCTGGTGGTTTTTGTGACTTGCTGGATTATATGAATAGCTAGTAGGAGCCAGGCTTTAAATAAATAAATAAATAAATAAATAAATAAATAAATAAATAAAAAGAGTTTCTCACCCTCCTGGTCACAAAGATAATTTAGAAAACCTGAGGGATGTTCAGCTTTGCAAACTCAGTAGCTGGAAGGCAAGTCAAGATTTTAAAGGATGCTATTTCTGCTTTGACCGTGCTGGGGTTTCTTGTGTGTTTGCCTTTTTTTTATTTTTTTTTTTTTATTTTATTTTTTTAGTTAGGTTTTTGTGCTTGGTTTTTCACAAGAGGCTGTGAAGCGGGGTGGGCTGTGTGCTCGGCACCCTGCAGGTGGGAGCATCCCTGAAACGTCACCCTTGGGCCACATAGCCAAGGTGAGGTCCGTGCCTCAGGGGCAGGAAACCCACCATGCACCAAGGGAGAGCCTTTTTCTTTTGTTTCAGACACCTAAAATACTGAGTGACCAGATCCCCGAGCCAAACCTTGCTCCAGACTTTTCTTCTCTCATTCCTTATGTCAGAAGTGCAGCCTTCAAGTGTAGTCCTTGCTCCCCAATAGGCAGCTGGAGGAGGTCAAAGCCAGTAGCCACTGCACGTGGGACGTATTGTGTCCTCCCCTGAGGCAGAACTGCCCCCGAGACCAATGGAAGATCTTGCACATATGATTCGAAGGGGAAAAATGAATTTTTGGAGTGTGCCTTTTAACTCATATCCACCCCGTGTTTGCACTCATTTTTATTTTAAATCTACAGTCCCATGAAATGTTTCTGTTCCTTTATTTTTAGTGCATCACTCTCAACACTAATGGTATCCTGCAGCTTTACAGATCTGAAATCTCTGCCCTGGGATCTGGAGTCTTTCTGTGGATATCCCTTTTGATTTCATTATTCATTTACTTTTCTTCTTCTGTGTTTGTCTCTGTCTGTCTCCTTCACAGCCCTGTTGTTGAATGAGCTTGGTAAGCGCGCATTCCTTTTTCTTTTCCATTTTTCCAGTTTGTCTACATATTTTTGGAAGACGATTGATTTTGTTTGACATTTTTCTTTGCTCACAATGTTCTCTTTTAGGGCGGTCAGCACTATTTAAGTAAGATCAGGTACCTGATGCCCCAACAGCCCTCAGATTAAAACCCCAAACTCATTACCGCTAACAAGAAGTAACCCGCCATGGCAAGGAGCATTTTTTTGGGAGTGGTGTTGTTACAGCCGTAGCAAACCCACCGACATGCCGGGTTACAAAACCATGCTGTGCAGATTAACCCATCACCTCTTATGCTGGCATGGCAAAAAGAGGACAGGACAGTGACTTAGAGGTGGGACAGATGGCCAACCCAACTGGAAGAGGTGGTGCAAATGGTGCCTCCAGCATTTACAGCCAAAGCCAGCCTCTGTGTTTTCAGGCCGGGGAGGGAAGCAGAGCACCCTCAGCCTCCAGGTGGGCTCTGCAGCCTATGTTAGGTGCTGGGGGGTGGCTGATGTGGCTTGAAGAGCTCACATTTGGGCAGGGTGTCCCCACGCCATCCCTAGGGTGCAGGTCAGGGACCAGCCCCCAGCCCCAGGTGGGGCAGGCAAGGACTTCCATGTCCCTGGGGGCTGCGGGGGGCTGCTGTGACGATGCTAACCCTCTCTTTCTCTCTTTCTCTCTCTCTTTTTCTCTCATTTTTGGTTTCATCTAGGTGGCTTCACCATCACAGGTATGGATCTCTGCTATCCCCCTGCCCACCCCCTCCACCCCTTCTCCTCTTAATGGCCGTGTGCTCATCCTGCTCTTTCCTCTCTCTCGGTTTCCTCTTTGCTTTTGTTCCACCCTGGAGGGAAACTCTGGAAGGGTAAGCAGGCGGCAGGGCCGCCCTCGCTGACACCGCGTCCTCTCACAGCACACCCAGCCTGCCGCACACCCGTCATGGCCGCTGCCCTCGGCAGGGCATGGTGGCCATGACACGGCCTGACGGGACGCAGAGCAGCCTCTCAGGAACACTGCAAACGATCCTTGAGGTTGACGAGGCTCTGGCCACGTGGCCAGACCCTTTGAGCAGCTCCCCGTGGTGGTGACAACTCTTCAGGCAGGGGGGCAGCCGGGCGGGAGCCACGCTAACCCCGTGTGCAGTAGGATGTAGAGTTTACTAATGGCACAACGAGGGTGTGCATGGGGTGTGCGGTGCCTCCTGCTGATCTCCTGCTGGTCGCTCTGATAGGAAAACCCGTCTTCAGGAAGGTCCAGGCTAGAGAGCGTCCTCTTCCCCGCACCGTGGTCACCATCCGAGGTACCTGCAGCGTGGCACCCATGGGCCGTGGCGGTCTAACACGGACTGACCAGCGTGTTTACCTACTGACCCGGGCAAATTAACTCCTCTATCCACCAAATCCATCCCCTCTCAACCCTGATGGTCTTCTGCTCATCCCCAAGGGTGGGCTGTCACACCAAGAGAGGGTGACAAAATGTCCCCCCGCCCTGAGGTTGCGCATACATTGGTGGAAGTGCAGAGCAGCTCCATGGCTCTTGTAGTCCTACTGTTGCCTCCTCTCTCAGGGTTTGGGGCCAAGCCATGCCCTGGGAACAGCTCCTGGCCATGCTTTTTCCTCCAGCCCCATGCTCTCCAGCTACCAGCCCGCTGCCCAAAAGGTAAAGCCCTGCTCAGGAGGGTCTCGTCCCTTCCTCAGCCCTGGGGCTGCTGACAGCTCTCTCTGCTTGTAATGGGGTGATGGAAATGTCCTAACCACACCTGGCTGCAGAACTGGAGGGCTGGGAATTGGAGCAGCCTTAGTGGTGATCTGTTCCCCCCAGCAACCCTCTGGGAGAGGCAGCAGATACCAGGGATACTCCCCAGCCCTGAGGGTGAATTAGACTATTCCTGAGGTTGGACGAGCTGCAGACCTCTTTTGCCAGCATTCCCCAGCAAAACCACCTTGTCTATCGCTCCATGACCTCCTTCTTCTTCTCCTCTGCTCTGTCGCTCATGCTCCTGCCTGGAGGCTTCCTGACCTCCCCCTCCGATGGGAAGCCAACTCCAGAGAGTGACCGGCCGGACCTGGCTCACAGGTGGGCTCTTTGCTTTACAGAGGAGAACGAGGAGAAGCAGCCACTGACCAGCAAGGAGGAGGAAGAAAGACGAATTGCGGAGATGGGACGCCCAGTCCTGGGGGAGCACACCAAGCTCGAAGTCATCATTGAGGAATCCTATGAGTTCAAGGTACCACCCGCATCCCCATCCTTCTACTCCTCTGCTTGGGGACCCACTTTTTGCACAGCATTGGCCAACACAGGCTAACGGCATCGCAGCAAAGTGGGGCAGCTACTGGCATCACAAGGTCTCAGACCATTGCCTGTGGTTATTACACACACACATCAACCAGGTGAGCCTGAGAGCTCACTGGGCTCCAAAATGCTGCACGTTACTTTCAAATATAACCTTGCTATCACAGTGATGCTTTATAGCCTACATAAAGGCAGTTTTGAGTGAGCCCTGACCCTGGGATTCCTATGGCAAAGCTCTTATACCCTAAATGCAAGCAGCCATTGTGGCTTTGTGGTGAAGCCTGCCCAGGAGCATCCCTTGCCCACTGCAGCCACAGTGCCTTCCCCACTAGCACTGAGCTTCAGCTCCTGAGCAGTGCACAGAGGCAGAGCCTCGCTCAAGTCCCAATTATTTACAATGCTTTGAAGCAGCCCGGTAAAAATTCCTCCCAAGGCATTGTGAAAAACAGGAGCTGCAGCACCTCGGTGCTATTTGCTGTTAAACCTCCATCGAGACCACTCAAATTCCCATCGTGAGCAGGTTTAAAAAGACTTTTTTTGAGTGGTAATGAGGGGAATTGGAAATACTTATATTTGCTTTCACTGCCGGGACGCTTGACCTCAGCTTAGCGTCTGCTAAGCTTTTTCCATAAGCGTACAGCTGTAAGCACCAGTGCCAGTGGGTTTTAGCCCCGCATCTCCAGTCCGATAGCCCCTAATTCTCTCTTCTGCGTCTCCATCTGCAGAACACAGTGGACAAGCTCATTAAGAAGACGAACCTGGCCCTGGTGGTTGGCACAAACAGCTGGAGGGAGCAGTTTATTGAGGCTATTACTGTCAGTGCGGGTGAGTTTAAACTGCTGCTCCAGGTGAATTATGATCAACCTTGCTCGTGTCTCGGCTTGGCCGTACCAGTAACACAGATCGTAGTGAGGCAGCAGGAGGAAAAACAGGTGGTGGAGTTATTTACAGCATCTGCATAAATAAGACAGCTGATTAAATCTTTTCGTGAGATCACCTTGTCTGATGCGTGGGAAACCTCCTGCAGTAAGTGTGTAGCGCCCGGCAGAGAAACGCTCTGGGTGCTACCAGATGGCAGAGGGGAAAATTCATTTCAGTGGGAGAGATCTTTGGGGAAATCGCAGTGTTTCAAGTCAGAACAGCATGGAAGGTGCTGGTGGGAACTGGCAGTGCTCACCACCTCTGGTGCTCCCTGCAGTGGGGACAGTGCTAGGCTGAGGGCGCCCAACCCTGAAGATAGTCACTGTGTCCCCCCTCAGATAGCCAAAATTTGCCCTTGACCCCTTGTGTTCGGGACAGGAATGCTCCTGCTCTTCCAGCCCTCTGTGGTTATGGTTCAGCAGTAGATTATGGCTCAGCTGCCCAGTAGCTACAGCACACATCTTATCTCTGCTGATATCAGATCATATCTGATCATATCTCCCCCTCTCCTGAAGAACTGGCCTTTCCCTCAGAAATACCCTCCTGTACTGCTCTCACTGGGACCAGTGCCACATTTACCAGTATGCCCAGTATAGGATGTATTAGCACTCCCACTTCTGTTGTAGGTAGAATAAGGTCTCTCACAGATGTGGTTTGAACAGCTGGAGATGTTATAACTCACTGGCTAGACGTTGCAGCCTTACAGCTCAGCCTGGGCCCTGCATCTGCAAGCATTAGGGCAAAATCAACCAGCCTAGATTAAATTACCGGAGAAGGCAATCGGAGCCCACCCAGCTAATTTTGCATTGAAATGCATGAGGGAACACTCATACTTCCTACCTCGAGCTCCTCTGTACATGGCAACCCCTACCCAGTACAAGTTAATTGAAAGTGATGGCTGTACCATTTACCCTTTGCATCTGAAAACGAGGACAGGACATCGCGCAGCAGCTATGCCCTCAAATTGCCATCCCTCTCTTTGTAGCATAGTTATTCTTAGAGCCTCCAGCCAAGAGCCTCCCATTATTTCGGATACAGCATGAACATATCAAGCAAGACAATCCTCGCTGCAGGTTTCATAGCTAATACGGCTAAAATAATCTATGCCAGAATCAATTATTTAATTGGATCCCATATTAAAGCAAAGCTAATCACTGGTGCTTGGATCTCATCTCTGCAAAGTATGTAAAAGACTGCAGCTACGTGAAAGCCCCATCACCACTACTCCTTGAATACACAACTACCATCAGTGCTAATAGGATGATTAACAGACATTTAATAAATGTGGCATAATTCGGTGGGCGTGAGCTGTCCCTTGCAGCTGGGGAAGATGAGTTTGTCTCTGAGCTCTGAACCTAAGTTTTTGCTAGGATTTAGCTCCTCAAGCAAGAACTTGCTGCAGTTTGTGAGCTTGTACCTGAATGGGTCGCTGTCCAACTTTGCTCTGCATTTCAATTCACCTTAACAGTATCTGGCCAGCTCTTGGAAAGAGGGCCATTATTCCTGCTTAACAAAATGATAGACAGATGTGGATGAGCATTATGACAGTGGTGCTCATGTTCATTTTTCAGTCTATTTTATCATCTCCGTAAAGATCTAGATCCACAGCAGTCCTGCTGCCAAGTAGCTTGGGAAGAGGATTAAAATACCTGCCTCAAAATTACAGTGTCAGCACAGTGTTTCCTGCCAGTACCAGCCTTTGTGCAAAAAGCAAAAGTCCAGCCTAGGCTTCCCAGGCTGAAAAAAATGTTCCTTATCTCCACCACAATGTACAGGAACGGGGCATTTATGTCTGCCAAAATAATAACACCATGCTTCCGATTAGCTACTGTTTCTGCCATAATGAGTGCAATGCCTTAAAGCCAACCAACACATCATTTTCCATCACGTTATTGTACAGACACCAAGTTTCCCACTGCCTCCATCCTACATCTTGATCTGCAAAGGCTCTTCAAAGCCGAACAATACTTGTGCAACGTTGCACCCCAGCAGGGTGCTGAGTAGGACTTCCACAAGGTTTATTCCCATAGCTTTATTTAGCTAAATTTTGGAAACACATAAAGATGGAAATGTCCACCACCCAGGGTAGGTGTCCCAGGGCTTCACCACCCTCCTGGAGGAGACATTTTCTCTGGCTCCATGCCCTCTCCCCTGCTGCTTGATCTCTGCTGAGCGCCCTGCAGGATGCCAGCAAAGTTTACACACACTGGAGCTGGAGCAAACCAAGAGCAGGTTGGCTCCCTTTACAGGTTACCAACACCCTCGTGAAGGACTGAACTATCTGGGCTTTTTCCATTTCTTTCTCCCACATGCTGTGTGTGCTCTCTGGGACGGCACAAAGGGCTGAAACTTCAGTGCTCAGGGTTTGGCCACCTTCTTAGGAAGTATGCCATTTGGTCCCCGATTTGGCTTTTCATCGCCACCTTTGCATCAAGGCAGAAAGCAGTTGTAGTTAAGAGCAATAACGAAGCAAGCAGCACTCGAGCAGCTTTCCCCAGTAGCTCCACTGTCACAGCGTGGAGCCCCCATTTAAGTGTGGGATTAATCAACACCTACAGATTGGTACATGGTATATAGCAAGACCACTTGTTCTCCTTGAGGGAGATTTTGTACATTTTCTTATCCAGTTAAATATCTGCATTGTGGAGGAGGATGTGAAAAAAAGCCCCTTTTGGGGAAAGGGTTACTGAGCAGGGGCCAAGTCTCAGAAAACATCTGGTGGTCAAACCCAGGCGCAGGTGCTGGCATGAGGCTCTGTATTTTCTGATGTGCAGGTCAGTTTTCAAGACTGATGCTTCTGGAGGGTCTCTGTACAACAGAGAGGGACCAGAAAAGGTCCTCGTGCCTCCCTGCACTTTTCCCAGAAAATGAGATATTTGGAAGTCAAGGTTTTGCAAGGCCCAAGCCATGAGAGGTGATGTTTGGGGGCTGCAGGAAGCACAACGGCTTTGCCAAATTGAATGAGCAACTAACCAGGCGCTGGTGGTTTTCTCCAGGGGAAGACGATGACGACGATGAATGTGGGGAGGAGAAGCTGCCCTCCTGCTTTGACTACGTGATGCACTTTCTGACCGTCTTCTGGAAGGTCCTTTTTGCCTTCGTGCCCCCGACAGACTACTGGAATGGCTGGGCTTGCTTCGTCGTCTCCATCCTCATGATCGGCATCCTGACAGCTTTCATCGGCGACCTGGCGTCCCACTTTGGCTGCACCATTGGCTTGAAGGACTCGGTCACTGCCGTCGTGTTTGTCGCGCTGGGGACATCGGTGCCAGGTAAGGGCAACAGCAGTTTGTAGTAAAGGTCCATCTCTGCCCAGACTGTGCTGTATCTGTTTCTGTGAACAGCCTCCACGGCGTTTGCTCTCAGAGTAGGAAGTAAGTCTTTGATTAAAATGCTTCCTGTGTTGACAGTTTCTGAAAGTCTTCTCCTTTGACATTGTCTCCCAGGTGAGGTAGGTGCTTGTTCACACTTAGGGTGCTCTACCCAGCACAGACACCTCTGTATGAGTCCAAATTCAGCTTTGGTTCAGGTGGATCGAGATGTTATTGGGCCAGGGAAGCTGCTAGAAATGCCACTTGTGGAGCTGCTGGAAGGCTGTTACCCTGCAGATATTTGGAGATGTGTCCATGAACAAATGGCCACCGAGATTCAGAAGAGAGTAGAGACTGAAGAATGGCACAATCAACACTGTGCTGACCAGGCATGGTCTAGATCCTGGAGATGGGGCTGTAACCCAACCAGACCACCTCCAGCTTCAGTTACACATTTTCTCACCAGTCCCAGACTTCCAGTGGTCAGCACTTGGGTGCGCAAAGACCTTGAAACTGGCCTAACGCTATCAGAGCCCCAAAAGGAAGCAACAGAACTAAAAGGGAGAACAGGTTTGGGCAAAAGAAGGAGCATTTTTTAGATTTCTGGCACTAGAACTTTTAGGTGCAAGTTTTGTAGCACTGTCTCATACCCTTGACAGCCAAAGTCTTCCCTTCTGTTTTTGTTGACTAAAGTTGACATTTCAGGAAACATTTAAGAGAAAAAGAGAAAACCTTTTGGGATATATTTGGCTACTCCTGTTTCAACTGGGAGACACTCACAGATGGTGTAGTGTTATCTGGGCATTATCTGAGCTGCTGGGTTTGGATCTAAAGCCAACATTTCTCAATGGCAGAGGACAGCATCGTGCTGGTCAACTAGCCACAAGATCTGCAGTGTAAAAGTCCAGGCATGTTTTATCACAGAGTTTTATCTTTTGTCGCTGGTCTTGAAGCTGTTGGAGTAGCTGGGCAAGTGTGCACGTACCTGCCTGGTTTTTCTCCCCTGTTATATGGGTGAAAGTTGTGTGCTTCTTTCCCAAAGTGTCAGGGTCTTCAAAGGACATCAGACTTTAATGAGGCAAAAACGAGGCGAGAAATCATTAGAGCAAACGCAGAAATGAAAATACAAAACTTAAGCAGACCTGATAGATGGAGACAGACCGTTCCAGCTCCCACAAAACTCTCCCAATCTTTTCACTTCTTGTACAAGTCAGCATATTAGTGGATGTGGGGAAGGGGCCAGTACACTGTAGTACTGGGAAGGGCTGTCTCTGGCTTGAAGCACCGTGGGGAATCTGCGAGCCATACCGGGGGAAGCCCCATATTTCTGGACTTTGAGATTTCCCTCCTGGGCATTCCTGTACCTTGACTGTCCTTCCTCAGGAGTGCCTGTAGGCAGAGCCTTGGGTACCTTTACCCAATTCTTCATTCCCCCAGTGATGCTTTTGACTTCTATCCCCACGCTGCCCGCCACCATCCCTCCTTACCTGCCTGTTCCCTGAGGTTTTCTCTCTGCCTTCCCCTTGCAGACACATTTGCCAGCAAAGTAGCAGCGACACAGGACCAGTACGCGGACGCCTCCATCGGGAACGTCACCGGGAGCAATGCCGTGAACGTTTTCTTGGGCATCGGGGTGGCCTGGTCCATCGCGGCCATCTACCACGCGGCACACGGACAAGCCTTTGAAGTCTCGCCTGGCACCCTGGCCTTCTCCGTCACCCTCTTCACCATTTTTGCTTTTATCAGTGTGGGTGTGCTGCTCTATCGGCGGAGACCCGAAATTGGAGGTGAGCTGGGCGGGCCGCGGACTTCCAAGCTGCTCACATCCTCACTCTTTATCCTCCTGTGGCTCTTGTACATATTCTTCTCATCTCTGGAAGCCTACTGCCACATAAAGGGCTTCTAAAGGAACAATCAGAGATAGTAAATATATATATATCTATATGTATCTATATAGAGCAATATATAGGTATAGATATAGATATAACGCTGTGTATAATGAACAGAGAAAGAATAAAAGAGATTTGCCATGTTCACACACCTGCTGACGGAAAGCGGCTTTGGAGCGTCCTTTGAACTAGGAGGGACCCCAAAGCCGGCCGGACCCCCTTCCCAGGGGTCCCCTCTTTGCAACTCTACCAGCGAGAGCAGCCGGCAGCGACCGAGCCCCGTCCCATCGCTCTCACCACCCCCCCAGGAGGATGGATGGATGCGAAGGCGACCGGGGCGCGTTGGCACGGGGAAGGCCGGAGCGGCTGGTGAGAAACGGAGCCGGTGGGCAAGGGAAGGAGAGGCGAGCGAGGGTCCTGAACCTCCGAGCATCCTCCATCCGCCTTCGCCACTTGGGAACGTCCCCTCTGGCCCTGGCAGAAAGAAGCGAGAGACCAGACTGAAGAAAAAGGGGAAACTGGGAGCTTTCTAAGGATAGAACACAACCATTTTCGTCATCCGATTTTTTTTTTCTCATTTTGATGTGTGTATAATTAGCATTTCTCCTCCCTTCCCCCCCCCATTTTCCCCTTTTCCCCCACCCTCCGTGCTTTGGGGACGCAGCCTCGTGTCCGGTGTCCTACGCTGAGGTCCCGCAGCGCCCGTCCTCTGCCCAGCCCATGGCCCCTGCCTCGTCCACCCCCCCGGGCATGCTGTCGTGGTACTAGTAACATTTTGCATGACTGAAACGAACCCTACCTGTATATAGCATCCTATAGCGATAGTCCTTCCAGCCATGTGGGTTGAGCATTGCAGATACAAGTGTTTTCACCTGGTTTTATTTATTTTAGGTAGTTTAGTTTCTCCCATAGTTTGTTTTTTTTTTTTGTGCTTTTTTTTTTTTTTTTATTTTTTCATTTGGTTGTTTGTTTCCTCTTCACGGGGAGGGTGGGGGAAAGGAGGGAAAGCTTTCACCATTCACTGCTCCGCGCACGGGTCCCTGAGAAGCAATAACAGCCACGCGGGTGTTTCTGTGTCCTCGGGGGCCAAGAGACAGCCCCTGTTTCTGAGTGCTAAGCCATCGGGATCAGTCCTCAGGGGCTGCTCCTTCCCCACAGCCATTTGGAGGCAGAACAGTCGGGTGTGAGAGCTGAAGGGCCGTAACGAGGTCTCCCACACCTCTGAAGGCAGCCGTGAAGCATTCCCTGAGGAAAAAAAGGACACGTTTGCACCGCCAGCAGCGCTTAGCACTAGGCACTGCCTCCGGGATCGATCATTCAGCATGCAGCGAGGGCGAGCTCGGTGTCGAGCGGGGCACAGCCCTGGCATGGAGGTGAGGTGGGGACCGGTGGCCTTGGCCAGGGTGACAGAGAGGATGCGTCCAGCAGGGCATCTCCCCTCTGGAAAGGGTGAGACGGGGCAGGTGTCGCTCAGCACCACCCCATATCTCCAGAATAAGGTTGTGCATGGTGTTGGGCGTCTCCTCACCCCACACCACCCACCTGGTGGCCCAGCCAGGCAAACCCCCAGCCTGCACGTCACTGGTGAGCTCCTCCGACCCGGCTGAGAAGCACCTCTGTACCACAACCGGTTGGCTGGGGTATCTGTACTCATTTTGAACAAGCTGTGGAAACTTCAATTAACCTGTTGTAAGATTTTCTCCAAGAGTCTAAAGATATATATTTTTTTTCCCTTGTCAAAGCTTTTTTTTTTTTTTTTTTTTTTTTCATTTTGGAAGGGTTCTTGGGGTTTTCTTTTTGGTTTCTCATTGTTTTGGGGGAGGAATTGAACACAAATGCAGGTTGTTCAGGTCTGTGATTACCTTTATGTACAATGATTTCGTTTTCGTTTTGTTTGGCTTCATTGATTTTTCTTTGTGTGTATTGCCCACCACTATAGGCAGTGAGTCCACTAATTGTGATGATCCTTATCAATGGTACACGATGCACAGACAAATAAAGTTTGTAATGATTCCTCATGGATCCAGTAGTGCTCCTGCATATTCTCTATGGACCCCCACCCCCTCCCCTTCCCTCTCCTTGTCTCCCTTTACGTTGCACCCATCTCTTATTTATCCATCGCTTTGCCTTCGTTGTGTTTCTGCTGCTGGTGGGGGCGTCGGGGCCTCCGGGCACACCTTCCTGCCCCATCTCACAGCTTTCCTCTTGCTCCATCGCCGTCACACCTCGGGCTCAGCGTGCTGGGGTGCAGCGGCGGCTCTCAGAGGGATGCAGGAAACCACCCAAGGACAAAACTTGCAAGTGAAGCCCATTTGGGGCCAGATGCTGCTCCTGAGCTGAGCGCCCCGTCAGTGCTGGTTTGCCCCCAGACTCAGGGAGAGTCACGCAGCTGCCTGCGAGGAACTTAGCAGCCCTTTTTGCCCGTGTTCCCCAGCTGCACAGAACTGCTCCTGCTCTTGATCCAGCCTTGTGGTTCATCTGGCAGGGCCCCCTCCAGGCAGTGCACATGTGTGGAGGGCTCTGCAGAGGGATGCTCAGAGCTGCAAAGAGCCCGGGTCCCTTCCACACCATTAAAATGTGTCCCTTTGCAGGGGACCAGGCTCAGGTCTGCAGCTCCTGGGGCTCCGGCAGGCTCAGGATGGGGCTGCACAGTGAGGCCAGCAGCAGCAGCAGCGCCTGGCTTTGGAGCTCCAGAGCAGGTAAATGATGTTCCCCCACAGCCGGAGGATTTAATGCAATCGCTGGGCTGCACGAGCCTGGTCTTTTCCCCCAAAAAAACTAAGCTGCTTTTGCCATCCGAGCCACTGACCCTCTCCCTGCTCAGCATCCTCCAGGACGAGTGCAGCTCAGCCGCCAGCCTTTGTCAAGCCCCAGCCGAGCGCAGTCGGTCACGCCTGTGTGCCTTTCCCAGGCAGTGAATTGTGAGAGCGAAGCACTTCTCCTGATCTGGTAATTACATCTTCCGCAAGGTGATGCTGGTATTTCACTCTCATCATCCTTTTGCTTCTCCGGGATGAATCACAGTCGCCGAAGTCATTAACAAGTCAAACGGGACACGTGTAGCGGCGCGGTTTAACAGGCAGTAAATAAGCGTTCTGCTCACAGAGCTTTCCAGCGGGACTGATGGAGCACTGCTCGCTCAGGACAAGGCCTAAATCACACGGCTAACACCAGCCTTGTTTGTGCAATTATTCTCCACCAGCCCCATGCTTTTGGCATCTGCAATGAGCTTATGCAAAGAGTGATGCCCGTTTGCCTGTAAGCTGCACTCCTCCTCGATACACACAGACTCTGGAGGTCCCCAGTGCCGGCATTTGTGGGTTTTTCTCCCCGTTTTCATCGCTTCCTTCAAGGACAAGAGGGCAGAGGCAGGCTTTGGACCCTTTCTGGTAGCCACGTGCCTCAGACATGTCAGAAGTCTGGATGCGGTCTGTAAACTTGCCGTGCTATTTCTGCCGCGGGCGGGGAGGAGAGGAGCAGAGGCCGTGTGTTATTGTTAGGGTTATTTTTAAGTGCTCGGGTAAGAACCGCGCGCAGCGATGTTGGGGACCTTATCCATACCTAGGGAGGAGCTGCCTTACTGAGGGGAAAGTGTCGGTGTGCCAGGGGCAGAGAAAAGAGGGAAAACTTCATGCCAGAGGGCGTTTGCATTGCTTTTCCATAAGCTTTGGCACCCGCGCCATCCAGGGAAACACGTTTGCAGAGCACCAGGAACCCCTCCGGCCTCTCCCGATGACCGACCACACGCACACGCACAGCTGCAGGAAAGCCTGTTTATCTTGTAAAAACTTGACTTGCGCAGGAAAGCATCCAGAGGCATCTGTATTCTTGCAAAATGCCCCCGGGGGACAATAAATACAGCCGGATTCCTCACCTTTTAAGGACTTGAGCCTCCCTCCTTTTGGAAGCCGAGGTGCCGAGAGCCTCTCGCCAGCCAGCGACAGCCCTCGTGCGGAGGGACGGGAAAGCTGCCAAGGCGGGCGCTGCCGGTGGGATGTCCAGCATCAGGGAGCACAGGGGATGGGGGGAGCACCAGGGGGTCCCACGCAGAACTGGAAACCCCATTTTAGGTGCTGCCACAGCAGGCACCCCTGCCCCGACTGCTGCGGCTGTGGGTCTTGGTGCAGCTGGTGGTGGGAAGCAGCATCGGCACCGTACCCCCGGCATCTCGGACTCAAGGCTGTGCAAGCAAAGGAACCTGCAAGTTTCCAGGTTGAGGAGGACAGAGGGTGGGCGTGCTGAGCCCTTCCTGCTCCTTCGTATTGCCCTGAAGATTAATCATTTGTGCTGAATTTCCACCGTTATCAAGGCCTACAGACGCTCGAGTTCCCCCAAACCCAAGCCTGGCTCTCCACTTCAGAGCAAACTGCTTTAACGGGGGGTTCAAGGTCCGTCTCAACTCCTTTACCTCAAAACAGCGCCTGCTCTCAGTGCTCTGAAAAAATAATCACCCCATTAAAGTGGGCAGAGTTTGATTAAGACCCTGCCCAACTGTGTAGTGATGGCATGAGGATGTTCAAAGGAGGGCTCAGGCAGGAGACAATGTCCTTCTTGCTGTGAAGCCTTCAGTCGCGATGACTTGGGATGCTTGGCCACACTTAGAGCTCCTAAACTCTACCAGGGCACGGAGGAAAGCCACGGGGCTCTCTCCCTGCACCTCTTGACCTCTCTGTAAAGGCCGGATTTAGTTCCTCTCTATTTCTAGTTCAGTGACTCCTAGGGATGCAGGGAGGTGCATGACTGGATCACTCCTTGCCTTCAGCCCTAGTCCTGTGCGTTGGCTTGGTCTCGCTGAGCAATGAGAGCCACAATTAGATGCCCCGTGGCTGGACTCCCCCCAAGCAGAAGGAAATGAACAGGCACCTGTTGTGCCTTCCTTTGTTGGCTCCGTGTGGCTCCCCTTGTCTGCACAGCTCGTGAGCAAACACATTCGTGCAGCGAGCCAGGCGGGAGCACTGCTCATCCTCCTTCCAGCAGCTCCAGAGAGCAAAAGGCTGCGATAACGCTTTGACACGATAGCTGCTGCGTTAGCGAGAAAGAAAACTCTCTGTATTTTTTCCCTGATGACAACTCTGCTTCTGACAAGGCTTGTCCAGCTCGTCTTTTTTTATTTATTTTATTTTTTTTCCACAATGCATTAAGCCCTCAGCTGTTGAGCAGGAGGCTCAGCTCTGCAGATAAGCCAGCTTTTAAGCTTGCCCATTGAGGATGTGGCTCAGCAACCTGACAAAACAGTTTTGTTTGTGGATGGGCAGGGAAGCTGCCGAATTCCCCTAAACATCATAACTCCAGCGTGCTGCTGCGTGGCGGTGAAAGCCACAAAATGCTGGGTTTTGGTAGGACGCAGCCCTCTGCTTCCTGGGTCTTTGTGATGAAGAGATGTGGCATGAGGTGTGCTGTCAAAACCAGGACTTCCCGATGGGCACCTTCATACCTCCCACGGCCCATGGGTTGCCTGGAGAGGTCCCTGTTGTCCACCAGGCCCAAATCTGCTCTTAGCCAAGCAAGAAGAGGGCGCGGAGGTTTGCTGTCTCCAGACAGAGGTACCTGCAGGCAGAGCCAAGGGTGAGGCCTGGGCTCCCTGTGCTCTCATCAGCCCTGATTTCAGCCGGAGAGGCCTGAGGGAATGACCATAATGTTCTGACAAAGTGGGAAATGAGACAGGAGCTAGGCGAAAAGCAGCTGTAGCAGGGATTTAGGAGTGATTTTCCCTTGTAACGGAGCGGGCCGGTTATCTCGATGCTCGAGTGACCACTCCAGCTCTCAAAAGCCATTCCGCACACTCGAAACACGGGGAAAGCAAAGCAACAGCTCCTCTTTCTGAAGCAGAAAGCAGCCTCTTGCCACGAGCCTGCAGAGGACACAGCGGCACAGCCCTCTCGGCCGAGGCCCAGCCAAGCCAGCGGCTTCTCCATCCCGCTCTCATTTCCACCAGCGAGGCGGGCTCGGGCCTAATGTCAGGGCAGGAGAAACAGCTCAGAGAGACTTGGGGGCCCTCAAAAGCCAGGGGAAGGGCTGACCCTGCGAGGTGGGCACTTTCCTGCTCTCCCGTGACAGCCGCCCGGCACCCCCAGCACCCGGCACTGCCCTTGGAGGCCTACGGCTCCCCCCCGGCTCGCGCTTCCAGCCTCCCTCCCCACCATCTCTCTTCCTCTTCCTTGTGAGCTCAACGGCACAATGCAGCTACACTCTTTGAAAAGCCATACTATTTGTTGGTACGACTCTTTTATGACTGTCGATTTATATATATTTGTTGATAAAAGAGGCCATCTTGGGAGACGCTCGTAGTCGAACTGGGAGATAATCACCCGGTGCTGTATATTCTGTACATGCTGTATAAACAAACAAACAAACAAAAAAGCAAAGTATTTAAACCTAAATGTTCATGGAGAAGGGGTTGGGGGGGATGGTCGGGACTGAGTCATCCCATGGGGTGATTGGGGACGTGGGGACGGGGACCTGGCATCAAAACCAGGGCAGGGCCCGAATTGGGGTCTCCAGCACTGCTGCTATCCCCACTCACGGCCACTGCTCGGCCACCCGGCGGTGTGAGCTCCAAAATCCCACTCCCTGCTGCCTTCGAGACCATCGGAGGCGGCCGTGGTAGCCCGAAAAGTCGTGCTAAGCTCATCTATTTTTATATATTCGTGGTGTTTTCCTATTGGTAGAGAGTAGTGAACGAGTAACCCCGTAGCTGAAAGTGAAATGTTCCAAGTAACTATACGACTGCAGAAAATGTTTGTAATAATAATTTATTTGAAATATTCTGCCAAAGATAGCTCTCTAATGACCTGTACAATGTCGTTTCTCTCTTTTTGCTCTGAATGTCATTGTGAAAGCACCTTTCTCCCCGCTCTCTTTTGAAGATTTGCTTTTTTTTGTATATTTAAGGGCAATGAAAGATGCCAATGATTTTTTTTTTTTTAATTATTTTATTTTAACCGGAGCAGTAAATGGCGTAGCAGGGAGGCGCGAGATCACTTTTTAGCGGTCAGGTGAAGAACAGGACCCAGCAGAGGAAAGTGAGTTCAGGGACCCCCAAAAGCCATTCCCTGGGGATCCCAAAATCAACCCCAAAATCCCAGGAGGGGATTCCCAGGGGAGCCCCAGCCACTGCAGGACACAGGCAGGTGGTCTTTACCAGGGAGAAGCTGCCCAGATGGGTCTGTTCAGAAATTACAGAATTTTATTTTATTATTTTTGTGTAGGGAAAAGTCTTATTTCCCTTCTTCATAGTTTCCTCTTGAAAGAACTTTTTAACACTGGGAAAAAAAAAAAAGAAAAAAAAGGCATTATCTTTAGTGATCCCTACACCTGTTGCACTGGAAATCCCTCCTCGGCTGCATCCTTTAGGCTCCACCACATCAGAGAGACTTTGGGCTCAGGTTTCTGTTGTTTGGTCGTTTGGGTGTGGGGTTTTTTTGTTGGTGGTAGTTTATTTTTTTATTTTTTTTTTGCTTCTGAGCAGATTCGCAGTTTCTTATATTTCTTGGTGGTAAAGAGCCAGAGGAATTGATTGGTAATAAGGAAACGGGATGCAGGCTGTGGGCATCGGGAGGCAGGGATGTTGCAGGAGCCAAGGCACGGGATTAAAGTCCCGGGCACAGTCTGCAGCCATGCGAGCTGCAAGTTTTTGGCTCCTGCGTGCAAAGCGCTCCCCTGAAGCCAGGGTTACGGTGCCACGGCATCGTGGAGACAGGTGAGCAAAGCAGGGATGGCAACCGTGAGAAGAATTGGGTTTCTGATCACTGTGCATTTTGTTAATTAGTGAATTCAAATAGTTTTATTTTTACCAAAAAAAAAAAAAAGAAAAAAAAAAAAAAGAAAAAAAAAAAAAAGGAAACCAGATAATCTTTATTCCAGTACAGACAACTGTTGACATATATATATTATTTGAATGGTTTATATCCTGTTGCTCTAACTGCATAAAATGGGAACCTGTTGCAAGGTGTGTCATTCCGATGTACAAAATAAATGACTTTTCCCTGCATGCTGCCTGGGTATGTTGTGATTTGACTTCCGAGTTACATTTGAATTGCCTTATTCAAGAGGTTGTATGTTACCTAACTGGGGAATGACCTGGCACTGTTCATCACATTACGTGTGTACTTGATGCTGTGTTGTGTCGAATCCAGATGAGCTGTCTGTCATCCGTGTACTTCGTGGGAGACCTTTTATCTTGTTAAACTGTGCTATGTAAACCTCTCATTGCCTGAAATAGTCAGAGTTGTATAAATCAGTGTCCTCAGCTGTTTTCCTAATTTTATCACATTTCCTAACACAAAATATAGATGTTTGTAAATTCTTCATTCATTTTGTCTATTTTTATGTACGAGGCCTGTTTAATCTGGCAGAGCAGCGAGGCGAGGCAGATCCTGATGCTTTCACTTGGGCTCGGTTACGTTTCCAGCCCCAGCAAACCCCAGCAGCTGATTTGCAGCAGCTGCAGCTGGAATTAGGGACAGCCACTTGCTGCCCTTATCACCTCTAGCTCTGATGGGCCGCTGGGTTTTCATTTCCATTTCCTAGGTGTCGGGGGCTAAAGGCTTCCCTGCCTCATCTGCAAACAGGCCTCGCATCTTTTCTTCCCCCACACACCCTGCAGTTTGGGCAAGCTTCGGGTTTGGAAGATGTGAGAGATGGAGCAGGACGAGTTGGGGTGGCACGGGGAGGGGTGATCAGAGACAACCACGTGTAGCACCCTGGAGAAGACCAAAGGAGGAGTGATGGAAACAGGCACGCCTCTCTTTAAAAATAAATAAATAAATATATCTTTTTAATTGCATTGTTTCAAAATGCAATTTTAAAATACAGTTTTAAAAATGTGGTTTTAGAAAAGCAATTTTTAAAAAAAGAATTAAAAATGCAGTTTAAAAAAATGGCATTTTAAAATGCAATTTAAGAAATGAAATTTTTAAAATGCGCTTTAAAAAAGCAATCAAAAATGCAATTTTAAAAAGCATTTAAAAATGTAATTTAAAAAGCGATTAAAAATGTAATTAAAAACAAAAATGCGATTTTAAAATTATATTTAAACCAAAAGATGCAATTTTAAAGATGCAATTTAAAAAAAAAAAAAGGCAACTTAAAAAATGCAAGTTAAAAACGCAATTTAAAAAAGCAAACGAATGCGATTTTAAAAATGCAATTAAAAAACAAATACAATTTAAAAATACAATGTAAAAACAAAAGAATGCGATTTTAAAGATGCAATTTAAAAAAAAAAAAAAGTGCGATTTTAAAAATGCGATTTAATAACGCAATTTAAAAACGAAATAACGCAATTTTTAAAACGCGATTTTAAAAATCGATTTTAAAAAATGCAATTAAAAAAGGATTTTTAAAGTGCAATTAAAAAAAAAAACAGCAGACACCACCAATGCCAAGTGTCCCCCCCCCCAGCTCGGGGGTAAGGCGGGAACCCCCGGCTCGCTCTCAGCACACCCCCGGCGCGCGCGCGCGCCCGGGCGGTCCCCGAGGGGGCGTGTCCTCACCTCCCCCCGCCCCCTCGGCCGCCTCCCATTGGCTGCGGGGCAGCGCGGTTTTCCCGCGCGCGCGCCGCGGCGGCATGGCGGGAGAGCGGGCGGTGGGGCTGGTGCGGGAGCTGCAGCGCGCCGCGGGCGGGCACCTCCCGCCCTTCCGGGTGAGCGGGGACACCGGGAGGGGACCGGGGCCGCGGTGGGGACCCCCCGGGGCTCGTCCTCACTGAGTTGCCTCCGGTGCTGCAGGCGGAGGAGCTGCGGCAGGCGCTGGAGGAGATGCGGGCGCTGTACGAGCGGAACCAGGCGGATGTGTGAGTGCTGGGGGGGTCCAGGAGGTCCCGTCCCGTCCCATCCTGTCCCATCCTGTCCCATCCCGGTGTAACGCGGCTCTTCTCGCAGGTCCGAAGCGAAGGCGGGCCGGACGGATCTGATTTTCCTCATCCGCTTTCGCCACTGCTGCCTGCTGCGGAACCAGCGCTGCATCGTGGCCTATCTGTGAGTGCTTTGGGGGGGACGGGGTGGGGTGCTGGGGACCCCAAAAAGAGCGACCTGCCCTCGGTTCCTCTGCCCAGCCAACGGGGCTGCCCCTGTTCCCTGCTGGCATCACCAAAAACCAGGAGGAAGACTGCTTGCTCCTGCGCTTTGAAAGTTTTAATTAACAAAGAGGCCAAAAATCCCATCCTGTTAACAAAAATCCCCTCCTTTAGAGGGAGGAGGGTGGGGTAGCCACAGCCTTTGCCCCCTGCTCTGAGGGCAGAGCCGGGTATGGTGAAGGTGCTGCTCGTGCCCCTTGGTTCTTGCCCCAGGTACGACCGGTTGCTGCGGATCCGAGCGCTCAGGTGGGAGTACGGCAGCATCCTGCCCAACGCCATCCAGTTCCACATGTCGGCTGAGGAAGTGAGTCTGCCTCGTCTTGCACCGTTCCCCTCCTTCCACTTAATCTCCCCCAGTGGATTATTTAGTACAGTCAGAAATGGATGACCCTCCCCCATCCCTACTAAAAAAAATAAGACACTTCATGTGCTTTTCTGTAAATGTCAGTCTGTTTCGAAATGTTCTAAGGGTGCGATCCTGAATGTACAACGAGTACAGGTAATGCCTGGCAATTCAAAGGATTGGGTGGCCTTCATTAGATCCCACTCACAGCCAGCAGAACTCTGGCCTCTACGTGCTGCTCTCAAATTCTCTCTCAGGACTGAAGTACAGAGCTGCTCATGGTGTTCTCTGCATGTGTGCTAGCCTGAGTCCAGATTGCTCTGTGCCCTGGACAGTTATTCCCTTCAGACGAACTTGCAGTCGCTGTTGGCTGCCAGGAACAGAGGTCTGACAGCACAAACAAACTGCATCTCGCTCCTCAGGCACCTGTCAGCACGAGCTGCGTGGCTTTGCCTGAGGCACTGCTGTTGATGTCTGCAGGTGGAGTGGTTCAATCGGTACAAAAAGTCCCTGGCTACCTACATGAGGTCAGTAGGCGGAGAGGAGGGGCTGGACCTTACGCAGGACATAAAGCCTCCCAAGAGCCTGTACATCGAAGTAAGTGGAAGAGTGGCGATTTCTGTCTGAACAAACAGTTTTTGCCCAGCTGTCTCTCCTTTTTTGGGTATTTTTACCTCCCTCCCCATTAGGAAGTTCTTTGAGTAAAGCCTTCCAGAGCACCAAGGCTTCCACAAGCTCTGATGCTTTCCTGTCTAAACTTTTCCTGCCAGTATTTTATTTCTTCTCCTATGGAGGGCTCAAATTATGTTGAAACATGAATTACCTGCCTGCAAGGAACTGGTGTGGTAGGAGTGAAGAGTCTGAACCACAGTAAAAAGTTTTTTAAGTATTTATTTTACAGAAACCTAACTCTTTCTTTCAAAGAACTCCTTGGATTGATTAGAAACCTTGTTCCCACGTTATGGGTTGTGAACAAGGCGATGTTTATTGTTATTTTAAATGGACTTTGATAGGTGAGACTATAAATAATTTTACACAGTTGATGCAACCATCCAAGAGCACGTGAAAAATTGTATCAGTCACCAGCTGAAGTGCTCTGTTCCTTTACTCTCTTACAAAGAACGTGTGGTGGCACTCAGCCTGCTCTTTGAGACTGTTTCAGTGTTAACAGACGGGCAGTTCCTGCTCTGTGTGTGGGGAGGTCCTCCTGGAAATGCTGCTGCTATTCTGCAGGGCTGGTCTTTAGTTTCTGGAGAGCTGGGTCTGCTCACTGGTGCTTCTTGCTCCGGGCAAAGGCAGGAAGAGAACATCAGGGAGAGGGTACCTGGACTTCTGGAGCATGTGTTTCAAGTCAGCAGTGCTGTGAGGTATTTGCTGTGTGAGGTCTGCTGATCCAGGGACTGCTGCCCCTCTGCTCTGCAGGTGCGGTGCTTAAAGGACTACGGAGAATTTGAGATCGAAGATGGCACCACCGTCCTGTTGAAGAAGAACAGCCAGGTATTTGTGACAAAAGCATGTGGTCCTGTGGCCCTAACCCCTTTCCTGTTCTTTTCCTTTTCCTCTTTCACTCCCGTGACGTGCCCCAGACCTGCAGTTCAGCCCTGCCTGATCTGGCACCCCTGGATTTTGGGGAAAAACTTGTCTGTGTTTCCATGCAGCACTTCTTGCCCCGCTGGAAATGCGAGCAGTTAATCAGACAAGGAGTCCTGGAGCACATCCTGTCCTGAGTGTGCAGGACAGGAGGGACAGCCTTTGCCTGATGCCCTGTACATAATGGGGAGCGAACCCTGGTGCGTGCAGGACTTCAGCCACCTCAGCATCTCTGCGTGGAGCACCTGCAGCTCCATGTAACAGCCTGATGTGAAGACCAGCTCCAAGTTTATAAAGTGTGCAGACCATATTGGCCAGCGCTGTGTGACCAAAGGGTGCATACTGGTGATGTAGCAAGCCTGGGAATCCTGCCCTTGTATCCAAGCCCCGCAGCTACATGCAGGTTCTGTGAATGCTGTCGGGCTGGGAGCAGCTCTTTGTTCACACCGTGCCTTCAGGAGAAAGAGGCTGACCAGCTGGGCTGGGGAAGCTGGGAGAACACCACAGCTGCAAAATGAAGAGCTGCTTCAGCCTTCAGTTTTTCTAGTTCAAGAGTCAATGTTCTGTTCATTAAACACTCCCTGACCTGGATCTCTGGGCCAACCCATCTTGTCCCTGCAGGGTGATGCTTCACTGGTTATTTAGGTGGCTCTGAACTCTTCCACATGTCAGGTCAGGCTGAAAGAGCTTTCCAGGACTAGACACAGCTTTGTCTCCCAGAGGCCTATAAACGTGCTTTCTTAAGGTGCTGAGTGAATGAGCACTGCGGACTGTGCCCCTTTCTCTATGGGGTCACCTTCCCCAGCACCCTGGTCTGGTAGGGCCTAGAGGCTATTTGGAGGAGGGATGGGAGAGGGAGCAGAAGGTTTTAAGGATTTTAAGCACCAAAACAGTAAGATGGCAGAGCTGCTCTCCCTATAGTTTTCATAATGGAACTGCTCAGTTTTGGGTAGTGGCTGAGGAAACACTTCTAAAAACCTAAGTTCTGTGTAAAATCACAAGTTTCCCTAGCCACAACCCAATACCTTAGGGAAGAACGCAGGTAGAGGATCAAGTGTTCAGGCCATTTTTTGCACTGCTCTCCCAGCCTCAGCCAAGGAACATCCCTGAGCTAACCCTGGCTTGTTCTTCCACCCTGCATGAACTTCCCTCCTTGCCGTCACACAGTTTCCCCAGGAGCCCCTAAAATCAGGACTGCCCCCAAGGCAAAGCAAGGGGAATCTCAGCTGTCCTCTACCATGGCAGGAAGAGCAGCTCTAGACCAGAGGCCTCAGTCAGCCTCCAGCCCTCTCCTCGCATTGTCCCTGTCCTGTCCTGTCCCCCATGGCAAGGGGCTGCCCTGCCAAGCTGGGAATTAGAGGCAGTAGCTGAGTGTGGCTGTCATGCCAATTTATCCCCTTTTATTCTTATGCCAACAACAGCTTGATATTTAAGCCTTCTTGCTTGTAGTGACTTAGCCTCTGCTTTACTACCCCGATGCAGTCAGGCTTGTCTCTCTCCTGCAGTAGTCACCACAGCCCAGAACCCCAGGAGTCCTTTCAGCCCCCACCTAAACACCCCTGGCCCTGCACAAAGCAAGGCAGTGATGTAGTAGCAATAATGCATCCCTCCATGCAGAGGGTAACACCCCATGGCGATCAATAAAGCTGGTATTTGCTCATGTGAGTGCTCTGTGGCCTTTTCAACAGCTTATTTTGGCAAGAATAGTATTTAGTGTCAGCATGTGAAGAGTAACAAGGAAGGCAAGGTGCTGCCCTTCACTTACCCTGCCTCCTGGTCTCCTCTGAGGAAGTGCAGTGAGGACGGCTTGCTGAAGTACAGTGCTGCACAGGGGCCACCAGCTCTGCCCCCAGCCCTGGAGGCTCAAATTGGAAGAGGAGCCCCTCTGGCCTGCTCACCACAGAGATGTTGGTTTGGATCCTAGGCTCAGGCTTTAGGAAGCTTCAGGCTCCGTCTCCTAGAGCCCAAGAGGAACTGTAGGGAATACAAGAGTTCAGCATCAGTTTTAAGAGGTTCCTGAAATTCAGAGCAGGCAGGATGGCAGGAGCTGCTGCCAGCATTGCACACATTTTAGTGCCACGATGCAGCTTTCCTGCTCAGAGAGAGCCAGATGCAGGAACCTGCAGCTCTCCTGCCCTGGCTTTCCACCTGTAACAGGGTGGCCCCAACAGCAACCCTCTGCGGAGGAGCGATTCAGGACCGATTTCCTTGAAGGACTCTGGTCTCAATTTTCTACTTTCTACCCAGGAAAATTCTGGCAAGATCAGGGAGGACAAAGCTCATTTCCCAACCCAGCCAGATCTCTCCTTCCACACCTGACAAGTCCCGGCCAGGTCCAGCAGCACGGCTGCCACAGCCGGCGCCCCACTACACGCTCAAAGACGCCGGCGTGATTTTTCCGATGAGCTGCTTCAGGGCCGAGGCCTGCTCCTCCAACACCTGGTTCTTCTCCTCAGTGCTCTTCTGCTTCAGCTCCGCCGCCTGCAGGGCCACGGCAAACCCCCTGTTCTCCTCACGGAGCTCTGCGATCAGCAGCTTGTTCCTGGAGAGCTGGGCCTGCGGCGAGGACGGGAAAGCTTTAAGGCTCAGCGTGCCCTCAGAGGGCTCCCAGCCCGGCAGAGAAACGCAGCTCCAGCCCCTCCTGCACCCACCTGTGTGTCCTTGAGGTGAGCTGCCCTGTCTGCCAGCACGGCCTCAGCGCTCCTCAGCTCGCTCTCCAGCCCCTCCGCCTGCTCCATGGCCGCCTGCAGCAGACGCTCGTGTTCCTCCTGCAGCGGGCAACGAAGCCGAACGTGGGGCTGTGCCAAAACCCACCCGGCCCCCAGCACCCCCACACCACACAGATCTTCACACTCTTCTCTTCCAGGTTGGAACTGGATGGTCTTTAAGGTCCCTTCCAACCTGAGCCATTCTATGAAGGGCGAACGGGGGATCAGCAGAATGCAAGAGCAGTGGGGGAGTGCCTAGAGCCCACAACCTTCCCTAGGTCAGCACCAACCTATTTTAAGACAAGACACAGCTCTCCCAGCAATGTTTTCTGTTAAAAAGAAAAAAAAATAAGCCAATGATCTTCCTTCTCACAGCTGTGCCCAGAAAAACCCGGGGAGAGAGAAAATTAAATTTCCCTGGATGCAGTTTCTGTGTCCACGTGTTTAATTATGATTTGTTCCATCTGTGCCCAGGTCAGTTTGACTGAACCACAGTGTCCTGAAGCAGAGGATGAACACACAAAACCCCGACACCTTATTGACCCAATGCCCTACAAATAAAGCCACCCCACTCCGTGCAGGCTACGTCTCCACATAGAGGGCTCAAGTTTTCTTTCCCAGGCCTGAGCCAGCACAGTGTCTCCCTGGATGGCTCCTGCCAGGTATCTGGCCTGGGGGTAGGTGGATTGGAGTGGGGAGGGCTCTTCCTCAAGCACAGGCTGCTGACTGGGTTCACGAGGAATGAAAACTGCAGCTGGAATTTGAAGATCAAGTGCATTTTCTATGGGGGTTCTTGATGTGCAGCATCTTCTACCCAAACCTCTGGTGACCTCAGCCACCTCCCAGGCTGGCAGCGCTCCCTCTGGCACCTGTGACTGAGCTGCAAATCCTCGCTTACCTGCGTCCTGAGCAGCTGCCTGTGTGCCTGCTCAGCCTGCCGATGGAGGTTTTCCTGGAGCCACCGAGCCCTGCTCTGTTCCTCCCTCAAGCTGGCTTGCAGCTGCTCAAACTGTTTCTTTGGCACCATGTTGTTCATCTGCGCCTTGGCCTGCTGCAGCTGCAGCGCATGCCGAGTCTGGGCCAGGCTCAGGCTCGCTTTGGCTTCTAAAAGCTGCAACACAGAAAGGCAGAGAGCTGGTTACAGCTTTGGGCCAGCGAGGGGGCAGCCCCAGGGTGTGCTGCAGGTGAGAGGAGAGCTCAGGCAGCACCCCCAGCTCTCATGTCAGCACGCCCACAGCACAGCAGGACCATGGCAGAGGTGCTTGCCAGGCAGCCTGCAAAGTCAGGGATGAAGACTGCTAGGAGCTGCAGGAGGGAGTGTCCTTTGTCTACCCCAAAAAGGTAGAGGACAACCCTTTCTGCCTGGGGAAGGTGCCTGAGCAGGGCAACACCAGCCCCACAGGGGCTGTTCAGCAGCCTGCCACCCTGTTTTGATACCAAACAGCACCCACCTTCTCTTGTGAGGCCCTGAGCTGCTGCCAAAGCAGTTCCAGCTCCGTCCAGCACATTGCATGCTGCCCGTGGTGCTCTGGCCTTGCTGCCATCTCCGCTCCTTGCAGCTCCTCAGCTTCCACCAGCCTCTGGCTCTGCAGCCGGGCGGTGGCAGGGCTGATGCTGCGGCTGGCCTCATGCTCGGGGAGCTCATGGCTCAGCTGACACAGCTTGGTGTTCAGCTGGGAGACCTCCCTTCTGCTCTTCTCACTCTGGAAAATATTCAGGAAAAAAAAATGCAGAGGTTTAGAGAGGGATGAGCAGTAACAGAGACTTTACCTGTCCCTGCTGGGCCCTTAACCACGAACTCTGCTGTCACTGCAGGACCGTGCGTACACCTAGGACGTGTGCCCTCATTTCCCAACCCGACCAAATCCCAGCAGCCGTGTTCAGGAGCAGCATTGGTGGTCAAGAAAACCCACGCAGCTGATAACCCTGGAGGAGGCTGCCAGGAAAAGCAGCGAGGGGGACTCGGGTCTGACCGCAGAGATGCGTAACAGAAATGTTAAGGCTGATGTGAACGCAGCACGAATGGAAATGTAGGCAACGAGAATGGAACAAGGGCTACAAGAGCAGCCTCCAACACCAAAGGACACCATTCCCAACAGCCACGCTGGCCCGTGGTCTGACAGACCGTTCTCCTCCACAGGCAGATGCAGATTTTGCCCTCCTAAACCCTCCAGCCAAGAGTCTGTCCGTGTTAATGGCTTCTTACCGACTCCATCAGCTCCAGTGTTTCAGCCAGCTCCTGCACCTCCTCTCTGCCCAACTCGCTCACGTGTCTCCTGTCAGGGAGAGGGATATGATCAGCTTCAAACCAGACAGCCACAAACACGGCCCCCACTTCAGGGAGCCACACATCCAGTCTTGGCCTGCAAAACCAAGCAAAACCTGGCCAAAATGGTCCTGAACTGACTCTGGAGTGGGTCGGGTGCCTCAGCCTACTTCAGAGAAAACTGCCCAAGCCAGGCCTGGCCCAGCACTGGCAGCTTTCACGTGGAATGAAGTGGGTGAGAGTGCTGGCTTTTGGAAATGAGCAATCAAAAGGCAGGCTGAGACAGCAGAAATCTAGTAAATGCACCGGAGTGGCACTCCTTCTTACAAGCATTAGCTGTCCACCCATCCACCAGCCTCCCATAGCTGGTTCCTCCCTTACTCATCATGTCTGCTGCCCTTCCTTGCCTCCCTCAGCTCTTGCTGGAGTCTCCCCAGCTGACTTTTCAGCAAGCTGTTCTCCTCCAGCAGCCAGCACAGGTCTCCCCTGCAGGGAGAGACAGCAGAATGAGAAAAATCGTGGAAAAATCGTGCAAAGGCCCAGTTTGCTCTTGGCATCCTATGCAGGTTCCCTGCCCTATTCCCATTTGCAAGGACATCAAGAACTAAAGAAATCTGAGAAACATCAACCCAATAGCTCAGGCAAAATGCATAGGGACAATCAGGAGATGCCAGAGGTAGAGAAGGAGCAGGTCTTCAAGGGAAGGGAAATAAAAGGGAGTAAGGACACACAGCATCAGAAAACAGCTGGAACAGCTGTGTCAAGAGGAAAAAGGGCAAGAGGAAAGGTTGGGGGCAGTGATGGGGTGTGCTGAGAAGCAGGAGGGGACAGGCACGAACAGTTTCCTGCCCAATTCCTCTGCAGTCTCCTCCACAAACCCATTCTGTCCCCTGGGGAGGTTGCAGAATCAGAACCAGAAGCATACAAAGGATGATCATCCATTCAGTGACTACCTCACTCTTGAGCAAACCAATCCGTTTTGGCCAAATAAAGAAAATTAAGCCATTTTTTGCTGCTTTTAAGACAGCAGATGGCAATGATCTAGGAAGTAGAGGCAAGTTTGCTGAAGAACAAAGCAAGAGAAAGATCATAAGAAAACACTGATGAAAAAAAGAGAACAACACCAGACCTCAGGCCCTCTCTGTCCCTGCACTGCGTCCTCAGCTCTTCTCCTTCCTGGTGCAGCTGCTGCCTTGGACATCCTACATCTTTAGGGAGCTGTGTTCCTACCCTGGCCTGCCCAATCTCAAGCTCCTCCTCCAGCTCCAGGCTCTGCACACATTTTTGAGTTGCCTCGTACCTTGCAACTGTTTCTTCCAGGTCTCTTTTCTGGCCTTCCACCTTGCTCATCTCAGCCTCGACGCTTTTTTTGCTGTCCTTCTTCTCTCTTTCAAAGTTTTTCCTCATTAACTCAATTTCCTTCTCGTAATAGTTTACCTGTTGGAGAGAGACAAAATTTGGGGTAACAGCACTGTCCTCCTGAGAGCCCCTCCTCTCCTCCAATAGCTCTAACTCAGATTTAGTGGTTCCTGGTCCCTGCTGAACTTAGCAGCCCCTAACAAGCAGATATCAGCGGGTCCCAGCTTCCCCAGCAGCCAGCACTGCTCCCCTTTCTCCTTGTTTGCAGTACTGGGACCCTGGAGAGAGGGGAGAGGCGGGGGCATCATTATTTGCAGCTCCTCCATCCTTCCTCCACCCTGCAGAGCAATTCCTTGCCCAAGAGGTGGCAGTGAGGAGCTGCTGCTCCCACAGCTCCCAGCTCGATGCAAGGTGACAGCAGACATCCACCGAGCCTTTGCCAGCCAGCGAGGGCTCGACATCTTCCTACCAGCTGAAATGGGCAGGGGAAGACAGGTGCCCCCCCTTCCATTCACCAAGCAGTCGTGCTGAGAAGTCAGACATCCGCTCCCACAGCTCTCACCTTGGTTTCCAGCTGCACCTTCAGGTCCTGAAGCTGTTCTTGGAGCTGCTCCGTTGTGAGTGATGTCTCTGTGCATGCAGAATTGGGAGCCAGAGCATTGGGAGAGAGGCACATAGAGAGAGAAGCTCAATGAGGACAGTTTTGCAGACAGGACTGGATCCACTGCCCGTGTGCTTGATGCTCAGGATGGGCACAGACCCCTGGACGTGCTGGAGTCTGGACCTCTGGCTCTCTAGTCCAACCTCCTGCTCAGACAAGGACTATCACCAAAGCTAGGGCAGGATGGCTACAGCTTCATCCACTCAAATCCCAAAAGATCTCCCTTCTATCTCCCTTCTACGTGGCAAGCAGTCCCAGTCCCACGATAGCTACATCACCCCTCTGCGCAAAAACTTGTTTCCTAATGCTCACCCTGAACCCCCCAACCCCCAGTCCATTTCTCCTTCGCTCTATCACATACACCACATATCTACTATTCACCACACTCCCGTGAAAGTCCCACCACCGGGAAACCTTGCTCTTGTCAAGACAGAGCTGCAGCAAACCCTCCTGTGTCTCACCTGCAGCCGGCAGCCCTCGCTCGGCCCTGCTCTCCTGCTGCAGCTGAAGACGCAGCGCTTCCAGCTCCCTCCGCAGCACGCTGTTCTGGTCCCACAGCACCTGAGGCAGGTTATAATGCAGCTGTGAAGCTTTCCAGGGCTGCAAGTGGCCAAGAGGCCACGGCTCCCAGCAGCTGGGAGCACTAAGGATCTCTCACAGCATGAAGGGCAGAGCCCCTCCCTCATCACCATAGGCAGAAAATGAGGCAGGGGGATTTTCTTCCTCTCCAAACAGAGAGATGACAGATTTTGGAAGAGCCAGAGAAGAAATGAATGTCAACGCAGGGCCCGCAAGGGAATGTTTCCTGGTGGCAGCAGCTGAGAGCTGGGCACCTGCTTGAAGTAGCAGCGTGCAAGGGATCCTGCCTCCCTCTGCACCACCCACTGAGTGGGCGTCAAATTATGTCCCACGTGCTGCCCCATCCAGAAAACTGATGGGCTGCAAGAGACTAAAGGGCTTCCACGGATCCCAATTTAAAAATATATACCCAAACAGATCTACGTAAAAGCGGAGGCAGCTTAGTCTCCATTCTAAACAAAAGAGCAGACAGAGGAGGAGGAGGAAGGCTGCCAGCATTCAGCAAAGGGAAAGGAGAAACCCAAACGGGTGCTTTCACGTGGGCAGATGAAACCCAAAGGCTTCATCTCCATCCAGCAGCACCTGCATGAATCACCCTGGGGCAGCTCAGCTGCAGGAACAGGTCCAGCACCAAGCATCTCCAACATCTCCTACCCTCTGGTGCCACCTGGAGCACTGCTCCGCCACGTCTGCCTTTAACCACAGCTTCAGGAGGGGCTGTCTACTCAATCCAAAGGGCTTTGCTGCAAACGCAGAGATCTCAGCCCCCGCTGCAGTGACTCAATAAGCCACCATCTCTGCTCGGTGGTGGTCCCCAGCCACACACAGAAGTTGGAAGCAAGGACGATGCAGTAGGTGCTGGACTCCGCACGCTCAGGAGCCAACGCAGAGAGCACCCAGCAACTCACAACATGCAGAATATGCAAACCATTAACAATTACAGAAGGGCAACGGAGGCTGTGCTCACATCCCAGAGAGCCCAAAGCTTTGGGCACAGCGCCATGCAGGAGGTGCAGCGAGCACAGCACCAACGCCAGAAGCACACACACACACCAGGTACCTGGACAGGCTCACCTTGACTCTCTAGCAGAGTCCAGTAGCAAGGAGTTTTGGAGGGGTTGTGAAATGGGGACCAGAAAGAGGAAAGGGAAAAACAAGAAAGGATTTAGCTGACAGCATCCCTTCCAGAGGAACACAGCCTCCTGTTTGTACTCAAGGGGAAATGCCTCCTGCCAAAAGGTGCTGAGCAAGGCGAGAGGGACCCCCTGCCTCCACGCTCTGATCAGAGCTGCCCCCCACTCCTCTGCCCTAAGCTAAAGAGCCCCACAGACGTGCAGATGACAGCTGTGCTGCCACAGCAGCTCTGTGGGAGAGCTGCCCACCCGTACCTGGCACTGCCGCTCGTATTCCAGCACGATCTCCGCAAAGCGCTCGCTCGGGGTCAGGAGCTCCGGGCTGTGGGGCTCCACCTGCTCCAGCTGCACAGGCACAAGGGAACACTTTTCATCAAGGAAATCAGCATCTCTACAAATGGAGAGCCAAAAGCTCTACAAACATCATTGCAGTGATGGTGCTAAGCCCTTAGATGCAGAAGGGTTCCTACTCACACCTGTAGGATGGGTCAAATGCAGAAGGAGGGGGAAAAGCATCTTTATTCCTGTCAGAGACACCAAACTGCAGGCAGGCTGACCTTTCCAAACTGGCTCCTGAGAACACAGACTCATTTTTTTCCCCAGATCCTTTTCACCAGGTTCCTCGCTGCAGTGGAACCCTTTACTGCCAATTCTAACTAACAATTAACCCTTTACTTCAGTACTCATGAAAAAGAAAGCTTTTATTTTCTTGAAACCAAACTCTGAAGTTCTCACTTGAAAATTTTTGAATTTGTCTAATTTAATACACTTGCAAACTTTCTTCCTTCCTTCTTTTTCTTTCAGACTTTAAGGCCTAAATCAAAAGTCATTTTTCTTTCCAGACTGTCATTAATTTACAAAATGAATTTGGGGAGGAGGCAAACCCACAACTGAGCTGTAATATACAAAATTTCACAGAAAAGGGTCAAGCTTTTGACGAGTTCCTAAAAAGATCCTACTTAACCACAGTAGAGAAAGAAAGGCCACCTTGTCCTTCACAACGAGGTTGAGCTCTTTCTGCAGCTCCAGCACCAGCTTCTCAGAGGCCACCAGTTTCTCAGTCATCTCCCTGACCTTGTTTTGCAGCTGTGTGTTCTCCTGCAGACAGAAGGGAGAAGATTCTCTTGATGTTGTGGGTGCTCACATCGCAGGATGGGTTCATCAGTCACGGGCCTGCAACAGGGAGCTGCTAATTATATTTTCTCCATAAAACTCCTGCCGTTCCCACCAAAAGCACGACAAACTATCTGTCTTAATCACCTCCTCCACTTTGCCTCCTCCTCTAGAGCGAGGACACTTCATCCAGGGCAGTTTTACTCACCCTCATCATGAGGTTCAGTCTTCCATGCAGGCTGGCCTCTCTGCCCTGGAGGAGCTGTGTATCAGCCTCCAGCTTTGCTTGATGGTTGAGTGCTTGCTGCAAAAGCAGCTCCTTTGCCTGCATCTCAGCTTGAACATCCCTGGAACAGACAAGCAACGTGACTGAAGCACGTTCACAGATTACCACGAGGTCCAGACATCCCCGCTCAGCCCACAAAAAGCAGAAGACAAAAACTTTTTTGGGGAGGAATGTTGGAACCATAAGTGACGTGCACATAAGGGGTCTTCAGGGACTTATCTGCCATTGATACAACAACCAAGCAAGCGAGGTATTCAGAAAGGAAAACAGGGACAGGGGGAAGAGGCTGTGGACACCCACAGGAAAGCCATTTTCCCTGCCCAAACAAAAGAGTCACTCCTACTTGAGCTTGCCCTGGCTGTGCTCGAGGGCGATGTACTGCTCGTCCAACTCCCTGCCAAGCTGCAGGCAGCGCCTCTCCGCTTTCTCCAGGTCCAGCCTTGCCTTGTCCCTCTCCCTGCAGATCTGCTTCACCTGTATCCTGCAAGCACAGCAAGGGAGGCATTCAGAGACACCCCACGCAGCCTCACACAGGGGCCCTCACAGCAGCCTGCCTTACCTGAGGCACTGGAGTTTGTTCGCGTAGGAGGTGACAGCCGCATGCTGAAGCCCACTCCTGGGGACCATGAGCGCCCTGCCCAAGGCTGCGGGTACCTCTGCCAGGCTCCCCTGCTCCTCTGGGCTGCTGCTTGGCCTCTGGAAGAAAAACACAGACTGGAGTTGTTCTCCCCTCTCTTCCAACACTTCTACTGTTACACCAGCTGATCACCCTCCAGTCTTAGAGACACTCCCCGTATCACAAACGGGCTTTGATCATATCCATCCCAGATTTTCCCTAGCCCTGGGGTGGCCAAAGCCAGCCCCTGATCACAAACCTGCCTGCAAGTGCTTCTTCCACCCCAGATCTGTTTGCTGGAAAGCCTGGTTGCTCACTTCACTCACCACCACCAGAAAAGCCCGCGCCAGGGACCTTGAGGATCTCCTTGAAGTTCTTCCAGGGCTCAGACAGCAATGACAAATTCAGGTTTGGTGAATCTAGTGCCGTTGCTGACGCTGGAGAGATGTGGGCTCACACAGCTTGGCAGGAAGGATGCTCACTCTCCTGCGATGTCAGGTAAAAAAGCAACAGAGGGAAGTCAGCGGGACAGAACAGGCAGAGAAACACCGACAGCTTTTAATACTGAAGCTCCAAGGATCCCATCAACGTTGGGGAAAGTTCTAAAAACACCAAACTGTCAGGAGGGAGATGTCACGAGCCACCTCTCAGGTAATGACAAGGAGCAAGCTGGAAGCCACAGACCACATATTTTGGTCTCCCTACACACCCGTGAAAATGCAGCATCCACAGAAAGGCCAACAAAAGTTATACAGCTTGCAATGGTCTTTTGAAAACTGCCGGACAGGGACTGCCAGACAACATTTTGTTTGGCCTAGAAGTTAAAATCGGGCTGAGGTCACCACGCAGCGGGTGAAGTCCAGACCATCCCCAAAAAATGACCAACACGTAGAAAACTCCCCAGGTCACCACCCTCAACTAACATCTATTAAATCACTCAATTGTGAAATGAAACCTCTCAGCCTGAACTGCTCTCAGCAGGACCCGTTCTTTAGGAGTGCATTTTGGGGGGAATCAGAGGAACCCTTCTAGGTGCGATGGCTGGATTTGTGTCTGCAAAACATTGTATGGATGTGATGTAGGAACGAAGCCCTGTGTAAGGAGCTAGCCACGACTTAGAGATGCAGGGTTAGGGGGAAGCACCTCGGGGGGGCTGCAGGTGAGGGTGACCGGGGGGATCCCTGATGGAGGAAACCTCCCTGCTTCCTGCATCCCATGGAGCACCAACAGCCTCGATGCTGGCATGCCGTGGGGCTGGGCCACCTGTGCTGTCCTGAAGCCTCCAAATTCCTAAAAAATAGAGGGTGGGAGAAGAGAAACTCAGCAGGCGCAGGAGGCGAGCAGCCCCTTTAAGCACCAGCACCCCCCTTATTATCATTTTTTACACCACAAACACACCGCGATTTCCAAACCTCCCCTGACACAGCTTCACCCCGCTCCCTCTCACCCTCCCGCCGCTCACCAGACGGATCGGTGCCAAAAAGGACCAAAAAAAAGGTGCGGGGAAGGACAGAAAATGTCCGACGGGAGCAGAGACCGAGGAGCAACACCCTCCCCTCAGGAGCACCACCGCCCGCCCTCCTTTCCCTCAACTGCGCATGCGCGTTCCCCCCTCCGGCTCCCTCACCGCCGCCCGTGCGCATGCGCAGTGCGCGCCGCGGCCTGGTCTCTCGTGTGAGGAGGCAGCGGGGGAGGCCGCCGCCATGTCGGGCTCGGCGGGCTCCGGCGGCGGCAGCGGCTCGGCCAGGAAGCGGCTGATGAAGGAGGAGGACATGACCAAGGTGGAGTTCGAGACCAGCGAGGAGGTGGACGTGACGCCCACCTTCGACACCATGGGGCTGCGGGAGGACCTGCTGCGGGGCATCTACGCCTACGGTGAGGGGGGGGGGGGAGGGGGAGAAAAGGAGGGAAAGGGAGGGGAAGAAGGGGAAGGAAAGGGAAAAAAGGGAAGGAAAAGGAAAAAGGGGAGGGGAAGGGGAAGGGAAAATGGGGAGGGGAGGGGAAGGGAAAGGGGAAATGGGGAGGGGAGGGGAAGGGAAGTGAAGGGAAGGGGAGGGAGCTGGGGGCCATGGGGGTGTTGGTGTGTGTTTTGGGGCCCCTAACGGCTGTTCCCACAGGGTTTGAGAAGCCGTCGGCCATCCAGCAGAGAGCCATCAAGCAGATCATCAAGGGCCGGGACGTGATCGCACAGTAGGTGGCCGCTCGTTGTCTGCAAGGCCTGCCCAGGGGGTGAATAGGCAGGGGGAAAGCTGGTGTGTTGTCTCTGGTGGTATAAAAAAGGATGTGGTTGCTGTTGGGAAAGGTGTTTCTGGGTCGCTAGTGGGAACTGGCGGCCTTCTGGGTTGTGTTGGCTTAGCTGGTCCCAGGGAGGCCTTATAGCGGCCTTCCAGTACCTACAGGGGTCTATGGGAAAATTGGGAGGGATGCTTTGGCAGGGAGTGGAGTGATAGGACAAGGGGTAATGGCTTTAAACTAAGAGAAGATAAGCTTAGATTGGATGTTAGGAAGAAATTTTTCACCATGAGGGTGATGAGGCACAGCAACGCCTTGCCAGAGAAGCTGTGGATGCCCCATCCCTGGAAGTGTTCAAGGCCAGGCTGGATGGGGCTTTGGGCAGCCTGGCCTGGTGGGAGCTGTCCCTGCCCATGGCAGGGGATAGAACCAGGTGATCTCTAAGGTCCCATCTAACTTAAGCCACTGCTGGATTCTGTGATCTAACATTTCCTTTAAAAAAATTAAAGATCTTCCGAGACAGGTGGCAGAAAGCTGAAGTACTGATCTGATAAAGAGTAACCATGCCAGAGCCAGGGGGCCTGGAATAGACAGTGCTTTGTCCCTGATGCTACAGTCTTTAAAGCTGTGTGTCTGCAAACCACACTGTGATCATAACAAAACTTTGTGGCAATGTTCACTTGTTTTCAACAAATGAATGGCAGTTCCTTTGGGCAGAGAGGTGGAATGTGTTGAAATTGCCTGTGTTGCTTATCCAGAAATGGAGAGCATTCACCAAACATCTGTTCCTCAGGTCACAGTCCGGAACAGGAAAAACAGCAACATTCTCCATCTCCGTTCTGCAGTGCTTGGATATACAGGTAACTTCACAGTGTGTGCTGAAATCTTGTTTGTTGTTTTTTATTTATTAGATTCATCATCATAAAAGCCTCTGTTTGTAAAGAGCGAACAAATGAAGCTTTCCATTGAACTCTTAATTATGGGCAGTGAAATTGAGGCAAAATTCTGACTGAAAATTTCATCAGTTTAGCTGTTAAACTCACCTTGATGAAATACATTCAGAAAAAAAATCTTACAAAGTTAGTTTTGATAGCTGACCTCATTCATACAGTTTTATTTTTGTTGTTAGAGGGCTAAGTTAATCTCTCAGCAGGCAGATTTCCCCTCAGCAGTCCTAACAGCATTGTCGACCCATCTGAACAGCTGCATACATTGCACAAAATCAAATGCAGACTTGTGACTGACACGTTTGCTTGCGTTTTACTCAGTGGTACCATGTTGATCTAATTGTTTTTGAAATATCCTCGAGTGTGTAGATGATGGGTAAAATGATTTTCTGTGGGCTGTTACTCCTTTAAGTAAAGCCTAGATTGCCATTTACCTGTCATTGCCTGGGGTTGTAAAAATAAACATTGCGTGTTCTGAATGAAAAGGGCAGCTTTTTGCTTTGTTTCTATGAAGTGCTCACAGTAATTTTCAAATCTAACACTTCAAAACATGACTTTTGTGCAGCGCGAGGTTTTTATCTGAACTGGAAATACAAAATTTTGGTCGCTTAAGTTTCTAGTCTTCTGTAAGATGAGTACACACTTCTATAAGTAATTTCAGAAATTAGGTAAAAAAGCGAGCTGTCAAATGAAGAATGGACTTGTCAAAAGCAACTTAATGTAAGAAGCTGTTACTGTGTAAGTGTTCTGTGTGGGAGTAGCTCTCTAGGTGCACTGACCCATGCAAACACTAGATTTTAGCACAAAATTTTATGATGAATCCTTGAAGTGTGACGTTTTAGAGTACCATGACATCTGTTGCCTGTTATGCTTGGATGCTATCTGCCACGTGACCAACTGCCACCATTGCCTGTTCTTGTCAGGTTCGTGAGACCCAGGCCCTGATCTTAGCACCAACTCGGGAGCTGGCGGTACAGATTCAGAAGGTAGGAGCATCTCAGTCGCCATCCATAAAGCACTTGCAAGGCCTGCTGCCAATTCCCAGAGCTAGAAGTGTTTACATTATTTTCCTGAAAGGAATAAGAAATTATGCCATAGGGCTGTCTTTCCCATCTGCATGATATCCGTTCTTGGTTCCATGGCTGTGTTGTTTAAGGTTTTACACGTTCCTACCTGAATTTTTAAGGACAGTATTTTTGTAAAGCAGTTATGATCCCCAGAGACTGAGTCCTCAGTGAAAGCCTGCCCTTGAGGAGGTTTGGGTAACAACTTAAAAAAAAAAAAAAAAAGTATTTTTATTGAGCTTACATCTTCTGAAAAAAATACTGTATGGCCATGCAGCTTCAAAGCTCTTCACATATAACAAATTTCATGAGAGCTCAGTTGGTTAATCTGTCCTTTGTGTCAAAACAGGGTCTTCTTGCTCTGGGAGACTACATGAACGTCCAGTGTCACGCCTGCATTGGAGGCACCAACGTGGGGGAAGACATTCGAAAGCTGGATTACGGGCAGCACGTTGTAGCTGGCACTCCAGGCCGCGTGTTCGGTAAGGAGCTCTGCGAGGCTGCAGCCCTCTGGGTTTAGATGAGTTGAGCCAGGGGAACACTGCAGATTTTGTGCACTTAGATTCAAAAGAGATAAGTCTGAATTTACTGGAGTAATATATGAAATCAGAGAAATCAGTGGGGAGAATATTGGGATTTTCTGTTTATATTTTGCATTTCATTGTTGAAATGGTTCTTTACTCTTCTTTTTCATGCTAGCAGGTAATTTTTAACAAGGAAGATACTGCAATCCTAGGAAAGAGGTTAAAGTTTTGAGGAGATAGGAGCTGGGTCTGTTTGAATGTCAGAATTAGGCCCATATTTTCTGTGTACTAGCCCTCCCTAGCTCTTTCTTAAATCAGGTGTACGCACAACTGTACTTCTTAGTTTCACAACATAAAGATTTTTATATTTACTGGTAATGGCGATTGCCCAGTGGTAGTGTTAGCCTTCAAGCTCACATTTGCATCTCTGAGGAACAGGCAGCACATCCTTATGTGAATACCTGTCACTGGGAGAACACAGAGTTAGTCTCCGTAAGCGCAAGGACATAAAAACGCAAAAAACAATTTGGTGGCTGCCAAACTGTTGGCTTCGAACAGCACACTTTAGAGCAGGTACTTTTTTATGACAGTATGAAGGAGTTACACAAAGCTATGTGCTCCTTCGAACAGGAGGCAGATTTGCCCACTCTGTTGCCACAAAGTTCAGGTAGCACTTTGCATTTCTCACATCCAGCTGCAGTTGCTGTGGGAGACTGGTTCACCTGTGTGCAGTTACCAAACAGCCTCCCACAGGTGGGGTTCTGAGAGCTTCCCTGCAATTCATGCTCCCTTAGCTGAATGGCAGAGATGTGCCCATGGTTGTAGGGCATGCAGCGGCTCTTGGGTGTGCTTTTTTCCCTCACCAAACACCAGTCCCTGTTGGCAGCAGGGGAAGTGCCTGTCCTTCCAGCAAAATGCACTGACGGGCTGAGAGCAGTGTAGGCTCGCTTGCTGTCAGAGCCTTTTCATCTTACAAAATGAAATCTTACAGATATGATTCGGCGTCGAAGTTTAAGGACTCGAGCCATCAAAATGCTGGTTTTAGATGAAGCAGACGAAATGCTCAATAAAGGTAAAGCAATTCTTTCTACTCAACTCTGAGATTCCACTGCGTCCCAGGTGTTAGACCTGCTTCTTAAAAAGAACTGGTTTTGCCAAAGCTAGGCAATTACATTACAGGTTGTACCAAACTACGTAACATGCCTAAATTGTCCAATTCAGGTGCTGTGTCATTTTCAGTAGTTAAAAATTCTTGAGTGCTGCCTTTTGTACTGTACTGCGCAACGCAGCCATGTCCAGGTGTGGGGGAGAACTGGGGAGAGGTGAGCAATGGGTTATGCTGGCTGAGTTATTGATTCAGTCACTGTTGTCATAGCTCAGACTGTGAAAGAAGAGGATATTCAGGAGAAAGACATGCTAAGTGTCCTGTGCTACCTGATTTGCTTTTGCAGGTTTTAAGGAACAGATTTATGATGTGTACAGATACTTGCCTCCAGCTACGCAGGTGGTTCTGATCAGTGCCACTTTGCCTCATGAAATTCTGGAGATGACCAACAAATTCATGACCGACCCCATTCGCATCTTGGTCAAACGGTGAGTTTTCTTGGAATGTGAGAGAGACAGCTCTCCCTTCTCACCAGTGCAGTTTGACTCAGTATTTGCAGATGTCCTTGTGTCCCACTTCCAGGCAGCAGCAGACTTGTCTGACCTAATCCCCATCCAATTCTGTTTGCTGCTGCTCAACCTGAGTCCCCCATCCCTCCACACAGTGCAGTCTCTTCTGGAAATCCACCTCTCAGGCCTCCCTGATTCCTGTGCTCCTCCAG